TAAGGGATACTTGGGAATAGTGCCACTAAAATCATTTGGGGCTCAAAGAGTGGACCGCGCGTGTTTGTTCACTGACTTAACCGTAAGCAGATATTGGTTTTAGACGTTGGATGACATTTTCATTTACAATGTAGTACGGCCTAGTGTGCACCAACCACCATACATTATCGCCATCAAGGCTTTACGATGAAGTATATAACTCGCTAGGTTGTACCTACCGGGTTATATAGGTTAACTGTCGTAAAAATTATCTCAAATGTTGCAGTAGGTTCTGTTAAAACGTGCTATTGTATAAGCATACACAATGTGTTACTTAGAAAAGAAACATCCAGTTATATTACTGTCCTAAGCAGCAAACGATAAAACAGGTTTTACTATTAAACCATATTAACCTATCTCTTCAAGTCATAGCTTGGTTTAAATTGCTGCTTTTACTAATTTTCCACACCGCTAACTTCAGAATGTTATTCTTTTAAGTCACGAGGCTAAACGAGATCGAATATAAATCCTTTGTTTCCTGGATGTCTTGCTTTTCCCGATGCATTGTCGCATTCTGGAAACGCTTGCCCCAAAAGTGGTTAGTAATTAATACGAACATCGTAAGTTACTTTCCGTCATAACGTACGTCTCTGCATCTGGCGATATTGGCTGGATCTCATGTGCTGCGAGCAACCGACCGTCCTGCTGTCCGCCACGTGACCTAAATCTTGGGTTTCGTATGTCCATGTTTCATATCTTGTACAAGGACAGAATGCGGCTGTAGCTGCTAAAGCAGATCTCTACAGGACTTCGGGCTGGTCGCAATCTGGTTCTGCTGCTGGTGCGTTCGTTGTAGACCTGTCGCTTACCAGAAACAAGGACTAGGGATTTACCACATACGAATAAACTAGCAGACTGTCAACAGATGTCAACGTCGATAAAGCTTAGACGTACTACGGCTTTTAGTTGATTTCGCTTGGTCGAGCAAGCTATGCAAGAAGATCCAATATGTGTGCAGTCCAATATGGTGGCGTCTTCGGGTGGGGTCTCGCGTTGTGCGACTTATAGCCCAAAGTTTTGAATTAGAACAACATTAGACATAGGGTGCCATTCTGAATAGCTGTCTTAAGATAATGTTGCCTAGTTTTCCTACAACTGCACATTTAAGTGGGCATCTAATTTTTGCTAACAACGCGTTATTAGTATACACATATGTATGCAGACGAGGATCTAAGGTCATAGATGAAACATGACTAAGATTTATAGCCTTAAAACATGCAGCCTTATAGACTAATATGAGATAGAAGTGATGTATATATATGTGATGGTTTCATACCTAATTTTTCTAATCAAATCCTGTCCACGCAACGAACTCTCGACTAGTATCGAATGCCGCCTCGAAAAGAAGCTCTCGAATTCGAAAGGAAAGCTGCCTGAAATAACTGCGCCACAAAGAGGTGCACAATAAATTAGTGATGCAATACTATTCCTTTGATAGTCCTAAGCTAGCTAATCGGCTGCTATTAGATCGCCCTATACTGTAGCTACATTATATGAAGAGTTACTGCTATCCACATATTTGGTTCGCGGAACCTGCCTGTAATAAAAGAAGGATGCTTCCCGCACGTTTCCATACGCGGTACCATTTGCGCCGCCTAGGATTGTCCTCTTCCTTATTCAAGAAAAAATAAGACTAAGTGAGGCGTAAATATCTTTAAAGCATTGCGCCATCTCAAAATGGTATGACACATTCAGTAGCTACATAGGGTCTCTCACCCGGCCGCCCATATACGCACACGGACAACTACTCAGGTTCCACTGTGATCCACAGTGAAACGAATGAAGCAGACAATATGTATCTCACGTTCGCCTGACGGGGTCACCACAGAGATCGGGGCAACAACAGCGGTGGTGGTGGTGGTGGGGGCGCCTCCGGAGGCAACTACCTTGTTGTTTGCGGGGCTAATTCTCGAGAAAGCACTTGAACGGCCTCTGTTAGCACCTCAGTTAGCTTCCGTCGTCTCGTCTCGTTTTGATCGTGACTAGGCATGGCCGACAATAAGTAGCGCAATGAGTAAATACGGGTTGTAAGGCGCGTGGTGCAAAGGTCAGAGGGGGCATTTCGGCAGAATGTTTGTTCGCCAAGCTCGAATCTCTGTTTCTCGGGCTACCCTCTATAGTCTTTTGCTAAAGTACGAATCGGTCCAATCGATGTTAGCCCTTCAGAGAGTCGACCATTCGTCAGCCACCTCGCTGGCCCGGCTTCGTAGCCCTAACACCCCTTTTGCAGGATCGATGCGGCCAGGACTGTAGAAAGTGAAAGGTCGCGATATTATTGCGGACAGAGGGCTAGTTAGGTCTGTCGGGGTGTCGGGAACTGATCAAGCTGTCAAGCGAAACATCGGGCAGATTGCCTCTTTCAGGACGCCATTTTAACTGAGGACGCGGGACGGCATACAAAAATGCGTTAGACGTTTCTGCTTTGTGGCAGTACGTCATTTACTTCTAGGGTATATCATCAACTCGACATATCGTAGCGTGGATGTGGCTACATCTTTTTGGGTACGCGATAAACTTAAATAGAGATGAGGTTGATTGCGTCTCTTTAGGGAAAAATCTCAGTTGGCACTCAGAATCGCTGCTAATTGTTATATATTCGTCTCACAAGAGTGGCGATACTCATTTAATGGGGTCGCTAAGCCACTTGCACTGTTTATACAGGAAAATAGAGGGTCTTTGGTTCGAATCCTACTAGAGTGATAGACGGTGCTATAAGTAATGCTCTAATCCACTGCAGCACATATTAGATAAGCTAGATGAGGAACCTGTATTGAAAAAACGCTTTAATTCACAACGTAGAGCGTTAGGCGCACTCAAGTAAGCCCGTGCTATATACCGTAGACGTTCTAAGATGGTCTACCTGTACTATTCGACGGTCAGCCTCACTCAGTCAGCAGTCGCGTTCATCATTGCTGCAGTTGATTAGTTGCACTGTTGTATAATACGTTAATCATGTCCGTTACATTTTACAGCCCGGCTGACAAATGATTGTTGACCAAAAGCTACCTCGTTTTCTGGGCAGCGCGCAATTCGTTCCGTCGTCCGACCAGTGTTTTTTTCAAGCGCGAAACGATCCATTCGTAGTACTGGGTTTAGCCCATAGTGGTGTTCACGCAGCGAAGCGAAACGAAATTGTTCAAGGACCAGAAAATGGGGAGCGACCGTTTTTAGAATGTGCATTTGACTAACTGAACGAGACTCCGCCGCCATACATATAAGGCTTTAGCTGGTAATGCCGAGAGATGCCGCTTTGGTTACTACTTGATCGGAGTAGATTCAAAAAGCCCCATGGGTGGTAAAGAGATTTTATGACCAAGTATAGGAAAATATGCATAGGCAAGCTTAGATATATAATCCTAATGCGTAAGCTATAAGACGTTATAGCTTTTGGACAACAAAGAACCACAATGTACAATGCCATGATAGTTATGGCCGTCATTAATTTCAAAGTGACTTGTAATGTTAAAATAATTTTTATTTAGCTTCAAAAGTAGATCAGTACTATATATCAACACAGTCGTTCATATCGTCAATGTCAAAATCAAGAAATTCGCATAAACAGCCTAGGGGAGGCCTTTGGAACGACATAGATCTACTGGCATGCTTTACGTAAAGAAAAAAACTATGTAAATAAGTGGGCATACCGTTGGCAACTGATACTTCAACAGCAGAGGTTTCCGTGCGTAGTAAAATGTTTCACTATCGGCATTTTGTCAAACCGCAACTTATTATTACCTTCAACTTAAGTGAACATGGCAGCGTAACACAATATTTATAGGCAAAATACTCCATTTCAATATAAGATTTTTCACATGCGGAAATTCATTGCATTGAAAGCAACTGTGAATCAGGTCGCTCATTGTCCGGTTTTGGCATGTTAACTTCAGAGGGTCTTCAAGGCCGCCGTCATAAGCAAATTGTTTTTTTTTCTTTAGAGCTCTGTATTATTGATATTACTTACCTGAGATAAGAGAATTAAAGCGAAAACGATTGTAATAGACAGTTGCATAGTCGATAAGTAACAAATAGCTAAGTTCTTCTCCTTATATATGACTTAATCAAACGTATTCTCTTGTTGATATGATAGGGCAGTCGTTAAGTTTTGGTAGAGACCTTTTATTGTCCTTTGTAGACGATGTTGGTGTTCAGGTTTCAAGTTCATACTGTTAATTCTCATCTACCATAAACAAACTTCAGCATCTGCTGTGCTATAGAAAACCTATAAGCACTCAGTAGAATAAGGCTAACCAGGGTAAAGGATACTAGTAGACGATTGAAATGCACCTGCTTCTCACTTTCTTAAGGGAAATAATGGCCTGACTTCAATTTGAGCTTCGCTACTTAACTTGGCATAAGAACTACCCCGCAGGAATTCAAAGGCGATTACTCTGTGAAAGGTAAACTCTTAAATGATACCCCGGGTACAAAATAACCAACTAAATAATAATTTATATCCAATAGCATTGGCATTCAAAAGACAAACCCGGGCTTCGTATCAATAACCACCAAGAGGAAGTTCATTTCTCGCAGATCGACTTTAATAACCCACGAAACCGGTCGACAGATATGCTTTTCTAGATGACAGGTTACAACATTTTTGAGAAAATCCATTATAGCGATTAAATGTATAAGATATACTTAAGATAAGAAGACTGCGCTGAATATCGCTCCACTGTTTCAAGCTGGGATAATGACATGAGTCAAAGGGGGGTGGATGAATGTCTCACAGAGTACAGAGGTAGCTCATGGCTCTTATGGTACTGATCCGTGGGCAACCTCAGCGAATTCATCCCTCGCCGTGAAGTATCCTTTGCTGGAAAGGGCGTTTCTATCCTCTCCACTTACGCACGGGGGAAGGAAACCTAGGGCACGAAGCCTAGGGTAGTTCGTACATGTGGATGCCTCAGAACGCCTAGAACGTTGGCTAACAAATACACTGTGTCCCATAGACTCAGCATGTACAACATAGACCAGCCCAACTGTTTTACCAACACATATAGTTACCTCATTAGCTGAACTATTGCGTACTTAACTTCAATCAATACTGTAGAGTGCTGTGAAGATATACGACAGCTTTGGAAGTCGATTACATAGACGAAAGGGCAAAGAAATAACGCAGCTTTTCGTCGTTATGCATTAGGTGACAGGCCGCGTAGGTACTGCGTCGCGTAACGTGACGACGACGTCAAGCACTTGTCCTTCCAACTGACTGCAACCTACGAATGAGGTGCTGAAACTTTTGTCTACTGTCTAACGGAAATGTTCCCGTCGTGTTTAGTGGCCGTTTTAGCAGGGATTGCTAGTGATTGCACGGGTCTCGAAACGTTGCGAAAGCGTTTACTAGAAAAGTGTAGCTAAAAAAAGACATCGCACCTAATCCCAGAAGATAGTTCATAAATGAACCAGCTCATTGGGGAGCCAAGCTCATGGGTTGAGACCCAATTTCAGTGTGTAGTAGTAACGATGAACGTAGTTATTGTTGATTGTACTTAAAAATGATGTGATACACTGGGATACAAGTGACGACGATGGCAGTAATTAGTGGCGACCCTGTAATGAACTGGGGTTTTTCAAGTGGTTTGCCCAAGGGACGAATTAACAGTCTCAAGACTCAGTGAACGTTGATATTGTTTATTAGCTGTTTGGATGTTTCTATCGTTTTCGACGAACATAACTGAAAGTGGATAATGCGCTCGAATACCATCAGCGTTAGATCGGATCAGACGGATACCGCTATACAGACAGGTTTGGACATTTTGGTAATTTTTCTTTGTTCCATTAACTAGTGAAATATAAAAGAGTGAACGACATATTCTATTGCTTCTATCGGCAACAGTCGACGCCTTGAGAGGGGTCAACGGGTCCACATGCGCTGTTGGAAATTCGAAAAGTTATTCATTAATATATATTGTATTTTATATACATATTTAGATATTTTCGTAATACATTAGCATAGCAGGGTCTTGCCAGTTAAAACCTTGGGCTCCGAATAGCCGCTAGCGAATAACATTGGACAAGGTCTGAACGTTCTCCATCGGTGCCTTGAATTCGATGTGTTAGGTAGGATCGTACTTTCAGCTGATCTACGGCGTCGTGTCGGCGAGAATACGGCACCAGACAGTTAAACGAGACAAACACTGGGGCTGATAGTACGTCCGGGTCAGCAACGCAATATCTTGCCAACGTTTAGCTGATTTTTTATTTTTGAACTTAGACTAATTCGAAATATTAGTTAATTTCGCCGGATTTGAGTAACTATAGTGCCCGACGTACATCACTACGATCATTAGAAGTGGAACTAGAATACAAATATGGCCTAACTCCGCTACCGCCCCCCCGAACATTGAGAACATCGCTGTTTGTGGCAAAATAACATTAACGAATTCCTGTCGAAATTAGTTCGTGTCATAGTCTGCTGTAAATATTCTTGCGAAATCTCAACTTCGATAAGTTATAGCCACATTGCGAACTCTAATTAAGAATTAAACATAATGTGCTGCCTATGACCAACGAGGGTTGGGTTGAAATCTAAACCCCAATTCACCTTGTTCACCAGTTTTTCCCCTCCATCGGTCCTTTTACCTAAAAGCCCCCATCTGCTAGAACTATGCAAAATGATACAAATCTTGTGATTTACCCCCTGCAAACTTCCATCAACCCTACGATTCATTCACTATTCCAGCTCCGGTTATCGCCAAATGACCGTATCGTGAAGTAGTGCAAACAGCGTATTTCTCACTCACCTAACTAAAAGTAGAGATTAGAGTGCTCGAAAAGTTATCCTCTCACTCGTTCAACTTAACGGTTAGTTTTCTAGGTTACATCCAGGAGGGTTTCATTATATATTGGTATATACCCGAATGTCACAGAGAAAACCAGATTTTGCTAATGATGATGATGATGATGATGATGACAAAAGCAAAAATTAGCTCAAATAGCCATCGCTTGGATGGCGGTGATGTCGTGACGACCAATGATGCCCATCAAAACCCAGCTGAGCAGAAGGTCGAAAAAGCAGCTACTTCTTCGGCTGCTGTTTATTTTTTTGTAAAAACTTGCTGTACATACAAATTCGATGAATCTTTGAAAAAGACCGCGCTGTCGGTGTCGGAAACACGGAAAAGCATCGACAGAGGGAAAGTAGAAAAAGATCAATAAGGTAAATTCAACGAGTAAATGTATTTCGAATATAGTATGAACGGACGAGGTTGAATAGGCACTAGTGTTTGCATGTTATATATGTAGAAATACAGTCTGGATTTGATCTAAGGACTTGTTGAGTTTATTGATCTGTTTATAGTAGTACGTTATAAATGTGAAGGCGTTCGCGACGATACTTTATAACTTTGATTAGAGCTGGTGTGTGTAAAAACCGTATGTATGACATGTTCAGCATTGGGCCGTGCATACACATACAAACACGTTTCGATTGTGAAAACGCTATTTAAGGACCGTTGGGCGATAAAAGGCTCTTTATATTTATCGTACGTCCATATTGACCGAACACGCACGATCCTAATTGTCTATGGATTCCATTCGCTTATCATTTTCCGAAACGCTATTTAAAATGAGGCATTTTTAAACTCTTCTAGCTGAACTGCTCCTGTCCGACCGCAGAGTGGCCTTCTCCCCTCCAGGGGACCTGTTTGGCCATTGGTACTACAATTAATGGCCTAGTAACATAACATGAACGGTGCAACGGTAAAAAAGGTACGACGCTTGACACTGTGGACAACGTGGGCGTCGACGGGTGCAGTGAAACGAGCTGACCATGTCTCTTAACGGTTGGTCAACGGTTTTGTCGGAGTCTTTCCGCTGTTGGAACGAGCACTTCTGTCTCGCTATTCGTGCCACAGTTTATTGCTTTAAACAGTAAAATAACGGTATGGATCTAGAAAACTGGTTTCGTAAGAGACAGAATTCTGTCGCCAGGTTCCAACTATTGCATTACGTATATGCGAATATGATCTGTGAAGCTTCTTCTTAAAGAAAATTCACTGCTGAATGAGGAACCACTCGAGCTAACCTTTAGTATCACGTTGCTGAGGTTCAGCGATGGCACCCGGTCGCTGCGCTAACCTCAAGACAAGCATTTTCTACAACGTATAACTTATTCAGATTTAAATTAATAGAAGAAGTTACAGCAGAAGATAATTTTATGTAACTGCAATATTGAACAAAAGTTTAGTAATAGAATATTAATAATCATTATTATCCTTCAAATCAAGTCGTTCAATGGTGACAAAAAGAAGATCAAAGTTCATTCCATGGCCGTATCTCATGTGCTCGACGGTGTAAGATCGCGTATGCAGAATGACATTTTCAAGAGGCCTTGATTTTCTTTTGAGGATCAACAGGATTTCCAATTAGAATAATATACACAGTACTTGGTGGCGTTTATTTAAGCGCGTATGTTGCCATACGTAAAAAAAACATTCGCGACCAACGTAAGATAATCTCGTATTATCATCTGTATCCGTCTGCTGTAACCCAACCTGCAGATAATGACATTTCCGAAGCCCATTCATTCAGTGGAACCCCAGAATGTCAGACATTGTCCTCCGAGACAAGTGGATTCGACTGGAAGCATATCGACTACATAAATTTGCCTATCAGGACGTCTGTGTCAGCGGGCCTTTTCGACCGCTAAAGATGTTCGATACGTGATCTGAAGCTTTTAATGTTGCGCGGTTGGTAAAGCCAGTGTTATTGCGAGCGACGAGGCAAACCCATTAACCTTTGTTTCATGTCGCTAACCTGTAGATATAGCCAACTGATTGTACCTATGTATTGTACAATGTGTAGTTACATAGGAAGGAAGCGCGTAGATGGGATTAGATCAAGCGAAAACCGTCAATTTCGGTGAAAATTGCAGCCCTAACTTCTTTTTTATAAACCCTATGAAATTTCTCAAAGGAAGCCATTTCAAGCGATGCCAGGTAGAAGAGGCAGTTCGCTAGTAAATAGTTTATTTCAGAGCTTTGCTTTACGTGAATTTTACAATGCACGGATCTCGATTGTATTAGCGAGATACGACGAACAAAAAAGATATGTAAAATATCATAAAATTATAACTATATTAAAATTCTTTTCAGTGCCCAGGTTTAGAAAACTTTGTATTTGAACAAGCAAATATGCGCGAGCCTTTCTATATATACATATATATATATATATATATATAGTTCAAAACACAGTTTTATCAAATTTTCACAATGGTTTACCCCTTGTCTTTTCAATATTAGTTACTTTTGCTTGTTGAAGTTTAGCGCCAAACAAATGGGAAAACTTTTTCTTTGAAAACAACAGAAATATCTCTAAGAAACAAACTCTGGAAAAAAGCGTTCATCAGGCGATCTGTCTGCATGGGTTTTTAGGTTCTAGTTTCAAAATCATTAACTGCCATTATAAATAGCAAAGTATTGGAATCAAATGTTTGTGTTTTTTTTTTTATAAAAAAAACTCATACAAGAAATTGAAAATGAGTATACTATCTGCTATAAAATCGAAAATCGTAGCATAATTAATTCAACACATTAAAAAAAATATCATACTTTCGTAATGATATTCTGCATACAACAAACCCTGTTTATTAGTTATTTTATATTTATAGTTTATTACTCTTAACCGTTACAAAACTTTACAATATAAAATTAAGCACAAAGCTTGTATATTAATTTATGCCCTATTCTCTGCTCTTCGATCCAGTCGTTCCACACTCTTCTGCAGAAGACCACTGTAAATCATAACGCATCGAGACCCATTGTTGTATTTGCGTTTATCTTCTAACGAACTGTGTCAGTTCTATTAAAAACACCGTGAGCCGCTGGCACGAAGCATTTTTATTTTATGCTGTTTATAGCATCTAGACTGTTAACATACGTAGAAATTGCACGCACAGATACGAAAATTTGTCCACCGAACCAGTTCAAGAATAGGTCATTGACATAAATCACCATTTTTGACGTAATAGGTCTATTTTTCAACGTTTCAACGTAGGTCAACGTTTTTTTGCCTTCAGGTGTACAGTTCCACAGTTTTTTCAAAAGGGTAGGGTTCTAGCACTACATGACGGTTTCACCCCATCGATCATACAGACGCCGCCTGCCCATCCGCTGCGGCCTACGCCCATTCAACTCTTTTTTTCTAGATGAGCATTAGAAATTTTCGGTGTTGGAAAAAATTGCGCCCCCCAATTCCAAATATGAATCAATCGCATACAAACACCAAATTTTAATAAAAACAGCTAGATGAAGTAGCTAGGGCTGATGAAATCCGTTTAGCAAGTACGACCTCGCTCAAATGATGTACTAGGAGAGACGCTCTATTAATCCTGTCCCCGATAGATAGCAGTGTACGTGTCGATCACCTCTGATCGATGAAACATCGCCATATTGGCTTACATAGAAGAATACAGCCCGCCCAGCTCAATCAAATCCGTTGTCTAGAATGAACACGTAGGCACAGATCTGTGTGTTGTCATAATTACGTTGCTTGAGCCGGGCACAGGCTACGTCGAAGAGACGTTATACGGTATGACGAATATTCAAGCGACATTATTCATTTAGAGTACTTGATAAATACACACAAACGTCAATGGCGGGCTCAGTGAAATAAATACTTCGTATTCAGACGATCTGTCGAGTTTGCTATTAGAGGAAATCTTTATTCAAACGGATTAGGCCTCCATGGATGAAACGGTGCAGTATCATAAGAATCCTCCTAGATTTGTGCCTGTAACACTGCCA